GACAGCAGATTTACCAGGAGCACAGTTTTATTCTCCACAAAGCTGCTTTAACAAAACTCTGTTTATCGGCGTTCCAACAGGAGCCCAAAAGAGGCTCCTCCTCCTCCATTTTTGACCCGAAAGCCAGAGCTGAAGAATATTAGCTTATTTTTCATTTCACCCCCAGAGGGAGGAGACACACTCAGAGGGGGCAGGACCATGGAAACACTCTGATGAATAGCTGGAGACAGTTTCCCACAGCCGTCTCACCCTTTGAGGTCCAGGCTGTTTTAAGGCTTCTATAGCTCAAAGTATAGTCTTTTGTATCCTTCTGAGTTGTCTAATACTTGTTCCCCTAACAGCTTTACAAGGTTTCATCTGCATTTATAATACACAAGGCTGTTCCACAAGGTGCAGGATGCCAGAAAAACCGTAAACATCTCAAACATAACCCCATAAGATCTGAAGTCTTCTTTAAACCTGCTTAAACTTCAGTGTTGTTTCTCAGCCACCTGCTTTGTGTTTATTAGCCAAATCTTGATGGTTGAGAGGATATAAACACGTGTTTAAGGCGGAGCTTTGTGCCTTTATGAGCTCTTCAGGAACACGCTAAGACTTTGTTTTGAAATAAATCTGAAATTCGCACACATTTCCTGAGTTTTAATCCTGATTTTTTAGTACAGGAGTCTCTTCCCCTTCACTGTGTTATAACAGATAAACCTGATGGTTTCCTGTGTTGCTTTCTGGCCTCTTTAGGAACCAAAACCGACTCCTTTGGATGAGGTAAAACAAACATTCTTACTTACACGCATGAATTCTGACTTTGAACTGGACATTAAATAAAAACGATCCATTCAAACCAAACCAGGTTAACGACCACTGCTCTTCTTTTTTTAGCATAACCCAGTAGGGATATAAGCAGCTCTACAGAACATGCACAGCTACTCGGAGCTCTTTCTAAAGCTCACTCTGCACACCGTGCTACAGGCCAGTGCTCGTGGAGGCAGATTACGGTTGGAGAACTGTCGCAGAACGCCGTGGTTGCAAAAGGAGTGAGTCCTGGTCTTGGCGGGTGGCGAGGAGGGGGGGGCGGGACCAGAAGCAGGAGGGGAAGAGAGAGGAGGGAGGAAGGATGGGTTTCTGACTGGGGGGAGGAGAGGAGGAGGCTGGAAGCTGAAGAAAGGGGAGGAAGGAGAGGACAGAGGGGATGAAAGGGTGGAGATGGAGGATGGGGAGGTGGGGGAGCCTGGCTCGAAACCAGAGAGGGAAGAGGAGGAACCTGAGACTAAAACAGAGGAAATAAAACAGAAATTAAT